GATCCACAATCAGTGTTCATGAAGGTGGTAGTCAAAAGATCAAACAATGCCTTGCATTGGGCGCATCTGCTCCACCAGATATCCTGAGCAAGGATGTCATTTGGAGGATTAAGGTGCGCCTATCCCAAACCACAGCATTTTCAATGGCCTCGTATGCCTATGAAAGTTGGACAATGAATAAGACAGAAGAATTGTGCACTTCCACTATGGTGCTGGCGAAGTAGATAGAACCGACTATGGACTGGCAAAAGAACAAAGAGATCTGTCTTCCAAGAGGTACATCCAGAACGCCCCTTACAAGTGAGGATGGGGAGACTTGCTCCTTTCATGCACTTTGGACACATTCACAGGAGAGACCAGTCCCCAGAAAAAGGATATCATGCTTGGCTTAATAGAAAGGTATCAGAAATGAGGAAGACCCATTGACAAGATGGATTGATACGATGGTTGCCACCATGGCTTCAAACAACAATTGTGAGGATGGCACCGGGGCTGGCAGTGTTTTACTCTGTGACCCATCATAGGGTCTCTGAGTTGGAATTGGCTCGATGGCACCTAACAACAGCCCTCAACTCAGAAATCACAACAGTAGTCACAATAGTGAAGTAGGCCCTTTGATGCCAACTGAAAGGTGCTGATTGGAACTCACCAGCAGCTCTGTGGGAGAAAAGATCTGGCAAAATGATTACAGCCTTGGAAATCCAATGGGGGCAATTATGCTCTACCCTAGAGGTAGGTTTATTGTGCCAGCCTAGCCAATAGAAACATGTGGGATTAATCAGGTCGCAGTTTGATGGGAGGGCAAAGAGATAAATGGCTCAGCAAGGCCTGCTCCTCTCTCTCTTGCTTTCTCGTGACTGGACCAGCGTGCAGCTGCCTTAGCCTTAACTCAAGTTGTGAGCTACACTACCTGTGGGACAGCCAACCCATGGATTGTTCAGCTAGAACTTGAGGTTCCTTCGAGACCTGCTTTGCTATGCTGCCGATATGTACATTGCTTGAGCTTGAGGCTGGTGGATTCTGCTGTCTTGCATTGCTTGAGTTTGATATTCCATTCAGGTCTGCTTTGTTAAGCTCCTGAGCTGCTGGCTGTTGGTGACCCGCCCTGCTGTTTGCTGCCTGTGGGTTAACTCTGCCAACATTACCCAAGGGAAGACTCAGCTGTCTGCTTCCTTGACATTGGATACAGCAGACTTCTTGAATTGAAGGACTTCCAGCATATTAACTGTTCCATGGAAGTGAGTTGAACTGAGCCCTCTCTACTGCTGTGTGGACTAATTAGCTGTTATATGCCTTCATGTAGTATAAATCTATCTATCTATCTATCTATCTATCTATCTATCTATCTATCTATCTATCTATCATCTATCTTCTATCTATCTAATCATAAGTGTCCTGGTTTTGTTTCTCTAGAGAACCCTGCCAAACACAGTTGCTGTGAGTCAGAATTGATTCAAGGACACAGAACACAGGAAAACTGCACACGATTCTCACAGATAAAGTTTCCCACCCCCAAATTATGACACACTGGGAAAGAGCCCGCCCACAAGTGAGGGTGCATTCAGACTCCTCACTAGATCCCCAGAGGTCCTGTGCTTGCCCTTGAGTCTCTGAGCTCCAGCATGCTAGATCCTTCCAGCTGTGGAACTGAGGAGCCCTGGTGGTGTGGTGGGTTATGTGTTGGGCTGCTACTCGCAGTCACCAGCTACTTGCAGCCTCTCCTTGGGAGAAAGATGAGACTTTCTGCAACTGTGAGGCTGTCGTAGGACTGGGCAGTGTTTCCGCTCTGTTGCACATTGGGTGGCTGGGAGTAGGAACTGACTCGATGGCCCCTAAGAACAACAGCATCAGAGGTATACAGTCTCAGCAACCCACAGAGCAGTTCTACCCTGTCCTATCGGGTCGCTATGAGTCGGAATAGACTCAGTGGCCATGGGTTTGGTTTGGGGTTTGGGGTGTTCTGCAACTCACTAAAACTATCCTGTCTCAGAACCTAGGCTCTGAGGTTCCTTCTGCATGGAGAAGTCTCAGTTCCTCGGGCTTCAGTGGCAAATGGCACCCACCTTCTCAGAGAGGCATTCTCTGACATCTCAGCTCCCGGTCCCTTGTACGCTCTCATTCTGCCCTTTTCGTTCCCTGTCTTTAATCAATGGTTAAATCATTCTGCCCTTTTCGTTCCCTGTCTTTATCAATGGTTAAAACATCAACTATGTGTTTGTTTCCTTCTTGTCTCTGTGCCCTTGTAGAGCATGAGCTTCAGGGAGGCAGGCACATGTCCGGATATTTTGTAGCCGAGCTACCTGGTGCACGTGGATGCTCGCCTTTGTGTGGAGCGCACGGATCACATGCAAGAGATGGGCTTCACACAGACAGGGTGTGGTAGTTACATAATCTGGTGTCAACCTGAAAAAGGGTGGCGTCTAGCCTGATGATCTCAATTGGAGGAGCCAAGGAGATAATAGCTCACTGGAGGCCAGGCTCTCTCTGCTTCATCTTCCTGCTGACAAGACACATGGAGCTACACTGGAGCCCTGGAGCTGGAGGAGACACGGGGAGATCCCTGCCAACTCTGAGATGCTTCCACCACCACTGGATCCACAGGACTTTCCACCCACTGACCTGTGATCTTCCTGCATTCGGCGTCATTGCATGTGTTGTGTGAGTCTGAAGAGGAATTTACAGTTTGGTTTGAGACCTTTGGGCTAATGTCAGACATAGGAACTTGATCTGGACTGAGCTATTTTCTTCATGTACAATTACTCTTTGATATAAAATACTCTTACACACGAGTGTCTGTGAATTTGTTTCTCTAGTCGACCGGGACTAACACACATCTACTCTGAGCACAAGATGACCGGCGCACGGGTGTTGAGTTGGGAGTTAACTCTACTGACTCCCAGAGAGTCCATGAGGGAAGAGCGGGCCAGGTTTTGACCATAAAAACTGCCAGTATCTAAGAGGGGGCAGTTTTCCATTCCAACAGGAATGGTGCGTAGCCAGGGTCCATTCTGATGCCAGGGCCGGGTTCTCTCATTCTCTGCACATCTTTCAGCCTGGCCAAGGGCTAGGTCAATGACCTTCTAACTGGGCTCTTCTGAGGAGGATCACATCATCAGTCACTGTGCATACACACCTGTATCAGCATCCTCCTCCTTCCTTGCTTCTGACCTTGAAGTAGCTTCTCTTTCACTCATTCGATTGTTCGGTAAACATTTTTTAACACCCCCCCCCCCTTTTTTTTTTCCAGGATCCCTGGTACCGTAGTGGTTACGTGTTGGGTCGCTAACCTCAAGTCTAGCCATTCGAAACCACCAGCTGCTCCTTGGGAGAAAGATGAGGTGTTCTACTCCCATAAAGAGTTACAGTCTGGGAAAGGCACAGGGGACAGTTCTACCCTGTCCTATAGGGTCACTATGAGTTGGGATTGACCCTATAGCAGTGGGTTAAGGGTTTTAAGGTATTTCATTCCAGTCATCATGGGGCTATTTCAGGCCCAGGTAGCATCATTTTACTTGTTGTACATAAGATCATTGTGTTAGGCAGGGTTCTCTAGAGAAACAGAACCAGGACGCTTATGATTACATATATACAACGAGAAGGAATATAACAACAAATTAGTCCACACAGCAGTACAGAGGGTTCAGTTCAACTCACTTCCGTGGAACAGTTAATATACTATAAGTCCTTCAACTCATGTGGGCTGCCGGGTCCAAGGTCAAGGAAGCAGACAGCAGAATCCTCCCTGGAGCAGGGCAAGCAGAGTCTTCCCATAGGCATCAAGCAGCAGGCTGGGTCACCAACAGTCAGTAGCTCAGGAGCTTGGTGAAGCAGGCCTGGATGGGAAATCGAATGCACGATCCACGGATTGGCCTGGCCCACAGGTAGTATAGCTCACAGGTTGAGGCAGAGAACTAGCTACAGCAGCAGCACGCACACTCCAGCACGCTCTGATCATCAGAGACCAAGCGGGCCTTGCCAAGCCATTTATCTCTTTGACCTCCAATCAAACTTCGACCTGATTACTCACACGCTTCTATTGGCCAGGTAGGCACAATAAACCTATCACAGTCATCATGGTCAGAGTTTACTTAACGGCCTCTGTCTGTCTCCCTCCCTCCCTTCCTCCTTCCCTCCCTCTGCCCGTCCATCCACCTACCTACCTACCTACCTACCTACCTTCATGTTTTAGACACTATTCTAGTTGCTGGTGATACAAGTAGAAAATGCGACACACATGGTCTGTGTTCTCATAGAATGTACATACATGCCAAGGAAGCCAGGATAAGGTCCTACAAGATAAAGCTGCAACGATTTATCCTGGTGTTCAAAGCCCATCTCCATTTCTCTTCTCCATGGGCCAAGACTCGTCTCTGGACACCGCTTTTCACTTGTTCTTCCCCCAAGTGAGGATACTGAAGTCCACAAGTGGGCAAAAAAGCCTAGTCCAGAGAGACAAGCAGCCCCTGAGCAGAGAAATTAGGATTTAGCTCATTTATGAGTCAAAGCCTCTCATATATATATATTCATCTCTCTCTAATATCCCAGATGCCGGACAGATTGTAACCCTCTACCATGGAGCTGATTCTCACTTAGGGACCCTATAGGAGACATAATTGCCGCTGTGGGTTTCCAAGACTGTAGATCTTAGAATGCCTCACCTTTCGCTCGAGGGGCGGCTGGTGGGTTCAAACTGCTGACCTGTCAGTTAGCGGCCCAATGTATAGCCCACTATGCTACCTGGGCTCCTGAGCCAGGTGTAGGGGGCTCCAAAAAAAAAAAAAAAAGGCACTTGCTCGTGGGCCTGGTTCATATTCACACATTTATTTTTGCTTTCTTGGGCACTATCTCTGGGGGTGGACCAGGGCAGGGCCGGATTCTTATGCTTAACTCAAACAACACAACAGCACCGTTTGCTTTCAAAGGTCCTAAAATAGGGTCCAAGGGTAACTCTCCTATTCCAGGCTGAACCAGCGTGAAGGAGGGGTGGAGGCTGGGAGGGCTTTGTGAGCGGGAGGCTCTGGGGGTGGAGGCGGGGGATCCGGGCCCTCCTCTAGGGAGGCTTCTGTCATTGCAGGAAGGGTATGGAATTATATGTGCTCGAGGTCCCCCCCGTCGCCACCGTTTCTGTCGTGGTCTGCGTTTCCGTCTTCTCACTGGTCTGGCTGAACTGGCTGACCTTGCGTTCCTGGGGGAGACAGGTAAAGAAGGGTATTGATTTTTTGTCTGTTCTAGAGGCGAGGTAACCGGAAAGGACACCTGCTGAAGAAAGGGCGGTTGACCCAACCTTGCCCTCTAGCTCCACGCTGCGAGCCGGGACCCAGGCTCTTCTTGCTGGCCTTCACACTGCCCGCCCACCACTAGGGGCCACCGAACGGCTCCCCGGGCTCCCCTGGGGAAGCTCCACACCTGACTTCTTCAGGCAGGCTCCATCTCGCCCTCCTCTGGGCAATCGTCAAGCCTCGCCTCGCCCCACCTCTCCCACTGTGAGGATATGGTTCCCACCAGGCTAGCTCCTTTCTGAGGGCAGGGCCTGGCTGTGGTCTTTCTCGGAGACCCTGGCATTGTCCAGCATGAAGACCCCGAGACGATGCTAGCAACAGATAGAACTCCACACACAGGAGGGCGTGGTGGGGCCTGGGGAGGACACTGTGAGCTGGAGACTCCAGGCGACCGAGGGCTTTGGGAAGGAGGTGGGGCTAGGGGTAGGTGGGGCAGGGGAAGGCTCTAAGGAGACTTCTGTCACTCCAGGGAAGGTGGAGAGCCAGGGTATGACGTCATTTCCATAGGTTTTTGTCAGCTTGTTGACCTTGCTTTGCTGGGGAGATGGGTAAAGAATGAGGTCGGAGCTGGTACTCTGGTCAACCTTCAGAGGGTCAGGGGCTCCTAGATAGGGTCTCGGGGGGTGGGGGTGCGGGTGGTCAGCAGGGCACTTCTGCTCCTAGACCCTCTCAAGTGGCAATAGTTTAAGGAGGCCCGGTGGCCCAGTGGCAAAATGCTAGTCGCTAACCCCACAGTTGACGGTTTCCACACACCAGCGGCCCCACAGGAGAAAGGGGTGGTAGTCTGCTTCCACGAAACCTTAGGTGGTAACTCTCAGGAATGTCTAGCAACCTCAAGGGTTCGAGGGCCCTATGAGAATATGGGATGCAGGGTAAAGGAAGGAGCATCCTGGACTTAGTCTGTTTTCCAGTCACTTTGGGTGGACTTGGACTTGGGGCATCTACATACTGTGCTGACCACTGAGACCGGAACCCTTTGGTCTCTACTCTGATGTGACCAGCACTGCGTTAGGCGTTCTTGGTATCCTTTCCCGATCGGAGGAGACTCCGTGTGCTGGTGTATGTGTGTGTGTGTGTGTGAGACTCCGTGTGCTGGTGTGTGTGTGTGTGTAAATTTCTGATGTCCAACTATGCCTGGAGTTAGTTCTATCCATTTCTCTCCTCCTTCCCCTCTCGAGGCCGTAGCACCACCATCTGTAAGAGGGCCTACAAGCACACCTGAGCATTCTAGACTTCCTGTCAAACCAATGGGCACGACTCCTCAATGTCCCTCGCCACGAGCCACCTTACCGTCATTAAGGCGGATAGACTACACCCCAGGCACAGCGGGCCTTGACCGATACGATACCTGCTCCTGCTCTTCGTAAGGTTCTTCGGGCTGCAGAGAGGTCCTGGGTTCTTCGGGTGCTTCGGTGACAGGGCTCTCTGCCGTCTCTGCGATTCTCTTTGTCATTTTCTTCCTGATATGCTTCACTCTAGGGAAATGACCCAGCTGATAAGTTCCGGCTCTCTGCCTCGCTGCACTCCCCGATGAGGCCCAGCCTTGATCTGTTCCTCGTTCTGCGGGAGAGCCCTCACAAACACTCACAGCTAGCTGTGGTGATCTCGGGAGAGCCGCATAAGCACGCTGGGACTGGGTCTCATGGGGGGACCTCTGTTCCAGGGGAACGGAACCCAAGAAACCATCATGCGGTAGTTACACCCTTTCATGTCCGCTTGATATACGGAAGCGTTGGGGTGGAGTCCAGCCTGTCCATCAGGTCACAGCCTGTATGGTCCTTCCTTGTGGGTGTGGCCTTCTCATAAGGAGGGTCCTGTGAAGGCCCCGCCCCCCTCTGCCTTCACCTTCCTGTGGGTGAGCCACACTGAGAGCTGCGTGAGCCCTGTGATGTAGCCACCACCATTGGATCCCCATCACTCTGCACCCTCCCGCCTGTGATCTGCCTGCATTCTGCATCGATGAACGTGGCTATGTGAGTCTGAAGAGGGATTTATGGACTGGTGTCAGACTTAGGGACTTGAGTTGGACTGGGCTGGGATGTTTGCTTGAGAGATCATTACCTCTTGACAGAAAGTCTCGTGTATAAAGACCTCTTTCACAGTGACCAGTGCCACTAGATTGGTTTCTCTAGTCAACTGGACCCCACACGTACACCCATTGCTGCCGGGTCAGGTCTCAATGACAGCCAGAGCCAGGTCAGACAGAGAACTGCATTTCCAAGACGGGGTTCATAACCTTTACCCAGCATAGACAGCCACATCTTTCTCCCATGGTGTGGCTGGGGGTGGTTTAACCCCTGACCATTGGGTGTCCCTGCCCAGCGCTTAACCGCTGCCACACTACTAGGGCTCCTGGTACAACAGGAACACTCTGCTGACCAAGTTGTGAGGCTCAGAGGAGATCAGCTACGAACTGGCTTCACAAACTCGAGGCAGAGGGTTCCTGGTGGCAGCACTTTGAAAACAACCTAAGCGGCCCTGCCATGTTGCTCCGTCCTTTTTCTCTTCTGGGAGCCAATCATCCCCCGAGCCCCAGCACCGCCACCCCACCCCTTGGCATTCACCGCGTGACTTGCCCAGAGCTCAGGCTATTCCGTCGCTTTCTTACATCAGCCACGGCACTGGCTTCGCTTCTCCATCCCAGGGTCTCACTCTCGTCTGTGTTTTAGCCCACACGGACACCATTCCTTCCCAGCGTGATGCTTGCTCCTGGCCTCCCGGTGCAAGATGGAAGTCCGGACTGTTTGGACTGGCCATAGATTCACCTGCCTTGTTCTCTGGTCGTGCTGACGTCTGTCTAGCGACTCTGCCCTTTTTGCTCCAGGCTTCTAGCCATTGCTTTGATCTCAGTTCCAAGGGTCCTTTTGACTAACACCAGAGACTCCCCATCCCCACCCCTCGCCCGCAGACTTTTCAGTCATTACCAATATTCTCAAGGCACCTGTGTCAGTCTGGGTACTTTAGAGAAACAAATCCACAGAAACTCACGTATAAGAGAGAGTTCTATACAAAGGTTAAGTGCGCATCAAGAAAACATCCCAACCCAGTGCTGCCCAAGCCCACAAGTCCAACACTAACCCATTGACCCACATGTCCAACAGCAAGCCACAAAGTCCTCCTCCGTCTCACAAAACAGATGCAATGATGCCGACTGCAGGAGGAAAGCCGAGTCAGTGAATGTGTAAGCATCTCAGCGCTGGCAGGGGTCTCCACACGGCTGCTCCAGCACCCAGGGCTGCATCGGGGTAGGTCCATGTGGCTTCTCCTTGGGGATGTCTTGCAGGAAGCGAGCCTTGCCAGCTAAAGCAGGGAACTGGCTAAGGTCTGACCATCACAAAGCAACAGACCCAGGAACTGAAAGGCGAGGTTCACTGATCCATTTATCCCTCCGCCCATCAATTAACCCCACCTGTGTTTATCAGCCAGGTTGGCACAATCAACTACCTCAGCACCTTTGGTTCCAATGACACCAAGCCCCTTGACATTCCTCAAATAGATCTCTGAGCTTTTCAATATGGATTCTTTAAGGCAAGGAATACTCAATCTTCAAGGCTCATCCCAGACAACACTTTGGGGATGTTTTGCTAGCTTCTCTGGGACTTCCTTCCATCCTCCCTCTCCCCCTACGGTCTGTTTTGTGACCTTGTAGAGTCTGAAGCTCCTCTAGAGAAAGGGCTGGTGATCTACTTCCAAAAGGGCATAGCCATTTGTCGGAGTTACATAATCTGGTGTCAACTTGAGACTATTAAAAGGGGTGGAGTCTAGCCTGTCAAGCACGTCACAGCTTGATGACCTCATCTGGAGGCATGAAAGAGATAAATAGCTCACTGGAGGCCAGACACACACTCTCTACTTCATCTTCCTGCTGACAAGACACATGGAGCTATGCTGATGGAGCCAGAGCTCTGAAGCTGGAGGAGCCACGTGGAGACCCACGCCAACACTGAGATGCTTCCACTGCCATTGGATCCACAGGACTTTCCACCCACTGACCTGTGGTCTTCCTGCATTCAGCATCATTGCATGTGTTGTGTGAGTCTGAAGAGGAATTTCTAGGCTGGTATTGGACATATGAGCTAATATTGGACTTGTGGACTTGATCTGGACTGGGCTGGGATGTATTCTTAATATACAAATACTCTTTACATAAAGCTCTTATACACACAGTGTCTATGAATTTGTTTTTCTAGTCAACCCAGACTAACACATTATGGTACCTTGGGAGTGGGGTACTAGAGAAATAAATTATAAAGATGGAGACAGGATGCTTGTTTGACCTCTGCCTCATGATAGTTTTCTTCTTTGGCTACCCAGAGGTCAGCTATGGCCATGCAGTCTACTGTGTTGTTTTCTGGAAAGAAAATGGGAAGTTAAGGTGTTGGTTATTTTGATTGGTTGTTGCTCTTGGATACTCCTGTTTTAAATGGTGAAAATGAATGTGATTATGTATAGTTTGAGCTCAGGGGGAAAAATTGCCACTTAGAGACCATGCTACTTAGGGAAAATGGCTGACAGAAGGCCCAGTCCTGGAATGAAGAAGTCAGAGGCCTATGGCAATATTTTATCAATGGAATAGCTTAGATAAGGATTAAGATAAGATAGCTAAGGATAGAATTCGACTGTTTTAAGATTAAGTTTAGGATCTGGCTCCACTAGGTTTATACTGTTTTCTTTTGCCTATTGTTATTGATATAATGATCGATAGAAATGATTATTGGAAAGTAAAAATAGAGAGTTCGCAAGACTACTTGCCTTCAGACATTAAATTGGAATTTAAATGGGTTAGGACATGCCTGCAAAGCATAAGATAAGCCCCACCCAGTGTCTTGAGTGCTTGGGACATGAGAAAGTGAAGAGACTTGCCTAGGGGGCTGTTGACAGGTGGAAGGAAAGAGGAATCCTTTGAATTTTGGAATTTTGGACTCGTGTTGTGTCTGAGGCTGGAAAATTTTGGAATATAACTGGAACTCCCCACTCAAGGACTAAACTGTTAAAAGGAGCCTGTGGGCAGGCTGACATTCTTGCTAGGTGACCACTTGGATCCACGTGTTAAGTGGAAGTGAGAGAAACACAGCAATAAAGAGACAGGTTGAGTCTAGCCACTGACCCTGTGGACCTGGTTCACAGGGACTAGAGGAGAAAATGGGAGTGGGTTGACTGGTTTGAAGTTCATGACCTAGCACCAGGGGGCTAGGGTTGTTGACAATTTGTGATGGGTCCCATGGTCTAAAGACAAGGCAGCCCATGGGCACCCTCATGAGGCTAAGTGAGGTGGCCCACATTAAGTTGACCAGAACCCAACCAGATGAAGAGACGTTTGAGCCTGTGAACTGGTGCATATTGTTGCTGACTTTATGGATGGCCTGTCCTGATTTGACTTTGCTTGTGGATGCAGACTTCACAAGGTTCCAATTGGAATGACGATTCTTCACATCAAAGATTACGATTGTCTCCTCAAAGCACTGGGTTGATCTAAGAGGGTAGTATAGAAATTGGATACCCAAAATTTGGGGATAAAGGCATGAAGTGGTTGGTTTTCAAACTTTCATAGGTGGAGGAATATGTTCACAGGATTATGGTGTTGGTGTTCACATAGGGATAGGATAGTTTTGCTTTGTTCACTTATAGAATGTTATGTTTAAATGAGGGTGGCATATTTTTGAATTGTATGCATTTTAATTTTATCCTGTATGTGCAGATGTGATTTTATGATTGTTTGTTCAAAAATTATATATGACTAAAGAGTTGTGTGAAAGTGTCAAGTTGACAAAGGGTGGTCTGTGGTAGTTACATAATCTGGTGTCAACTTGAGACTATTAAGAGTGAGGGCGTGGGCTATTAAAATATATAGCATCTGGGGTCTTAAAGGCTTGAAATGAAACAAGTGGCCATATAGCAGAGAAGTAACAAGCCCACATGGAAGAAGAACACCAGCCTGCGTGATCACGAGGTGTCATCGGGACCTGGTAGCAAGCATCAGAAAACCCTTAACAATCAAACAAACAAAACTATATGGTTGAAAATGAGGGGGGTCAGAGCAGAGACCCAAAGCCCATCTCTAGACAATGGAACATCCCCCACAGAGGGGTCACAGGGAAGGGATGAGTCAACCAGGATGTAGTAAAGCACCGATGAAACACACCATTCCTCTGGTTCCTTGAAGTTTCCTCAACCTCCCCCTCCCACCATGACCCCAGTGATGCCTCTCACTTTGGACTAGACCAGAGCATGTGCACAGGTGTAGATAAGAGTCAAGAGCTCACAACACATACAACCCAGGATCAGGAATGGGAAGAGAGATACCAGATGGGAAGGGAGGTTGGGGAGGTGGGGTAGGATGGGAAGAAGGGGGAACTGATCATAATGATTGACACACAACCACCACCCACCTCCGGGGGAAAGAAGAACGGAAACCGTGGGGGAAGGGAGACAGTGGTTGGTGTGAGATATGAAAACAACAATAATTTATAATCTATCAAGGGGTCATATGGGGTGGGGGGAAGGAGCTGATACCAAGGGTTCAATTAGAAAGTAACTGTCTAGAAAAGAATGATGGCAACATATGTACAAATATGCCTGATACAATTGATGTATGGATTGTGATAAGCATTGTATGAGCCCTCAAAATGGATTTTATAAAAAGAGTAAAGGGGTGGAGTTTAGCCTGTCAATCAGGTCACAGCTTGCTGACCTCATTTGGAGGTGCTGTGGAGATAAATAGCTCACGGGAGACCAGACCCACACCCTGTTTTGTTTTCCTGCTGACAAGACACACGGAGCTACGCTGATGGAGCCAGAGCCCTGGAGCTGCAGGAGCCATGCAGAGACCCACGCCAGCACTGAGAGGCTTCCATGGCCACTGGATCCACAAGACTTTCCACCCACCGGCCTGTGATCTTTCCTCCTGCATGTGTGCGTGAGTCTGAAGAGGACTTTACAGACTGGTATCAGACATGTGAGCTAATATCGGACTTGTGGACTTGATCTGGACTGGGCTGGGGTGTTTTCTTCATATACAATGACTCTTGGATATCAAGCTCTTTCTTATACACAGATGAGTGTCTCTGGATTTGTTTCTCTAGTCCACCCGGACTAAGACACCACTGAAAACCTGATGGGGTGCAGTCCTACCTGGAAACCCATGGGGGTGAGCCAGGAGTCAGGAGTGACTCACCGGCTAACTGGCTTGGGTTTCTAATCCCGATGGCCTGGGATCGCGGTGATCCGGTTTGGTTTGGTGCGGTTCCCTTTTGCCAGACACCGAACTCCTTTATTGGCGGGGGTTCTTTCTGTCTTGGCCCTCTGTTTACCACGGCCCTGGGTGAGCAGCAGGCTTTGGGAGAGGCTCGCGTTCCGGCTGCTCCTCGGTACTCACATGAAAGGGAGGAGGAGGAGGAACAGCAACCCAGCTGCGATGGCGCCATACTCGATGCCCTGGAGCAGCCCTTGCAGGAATGTCTGGGAACCAAAGCCCGTCTTTGCTGCAAGGAAAGAGGATGTCAGGGAGGCTGCTCTTCCCGAGACCTTAGAATCAGAGCCCAAACTGCTCCGTCCGTCCGTCCGTCCAGCGCCAGTGCCTGCCCCCAGCCCCCTCGTCTTTCTCAACCTCACCCACACGCCCACCAGGGCCCTCTTATCCTCACGTGGCATCATGAGGAAGCTCAACGCGTGGAGGCCACTTTGGCTCTTCCCCTCACAAAGCACGCCCATGGTGTTTCGTGGCTCCTCAAACAGGTGGATGGTGCTGTTGGCCCAGGGGCCAATCGATGAGGACGTCAATTTCATATAGTTACTCATATTTTTCCCATCCATAGTCTTCCACTCGATGGTGGGCGTGGGGTCCCCATAGAAGATACAGTTGCAATGCAGCGTTGAATCCAAGAAACACGAGGCATTGAATAGCTTGGGGAGTGCTGGGGAGTGGAGAGCGAGTCAGAAATCAGCAAGGCACCCGACTCCCGTTCCCCACCTCCTCCAGGACCCAGCTCTCTTCTGAGCCACAGTTCACGGAGAACTGTAGACAGACTTTCTTGAATCCCAGCAGGCCTGGCTCTGACAGACCTGTTCCTCTTGGCTCTTTCTCATTGGGCCTGAACCTGGGCATTGGACCTTCCGGGCTGATGGAAGAGTGGATTTTACCCATGGCCTCTGATGCCTTCCTTGCCCTGCCCCACCCCCAAGACTAGATTTCCCAGGGTCAGCCTCAAGCCCCGTGTCTCTCTCTCGTCCACCCCTGGCTCCCCCTGTAATCTCTGCCCCCTTCTCACTAAGACACCTGATCCATTTCTCCATGGGTCACTTTCTGACTGGACGCTGTTGGGTCCATCATGCCCTCTCCCTCGGCTGTTTCCTAGCCCAGAAGACAGAGAACTCCGGGGGCGCTCTGATCTGATCTGATGGCTGTGGCAGGAAGAAAGGCTGCCTTCGGGGCAACGCCTGTCAACTTTCCGGTGGAGTCCTGTGCGTCGCTGGCAGGCTAAGTAGGTTTCCGTGGAAGCGACCAGGCTGAGATGGGTCTAGGGAGGAAAGCCTGCCAAGCTCCTTCTGCCAAATCACTTCACGGAAACCCTACGGGTCTCAGTAGCTTTATCCCACTCTGCAAGCAAGGTCACCATGCGTTGGGAGCCAACTGGATGGCAGCCAACACCACCACCATTGCCGCTGCCACCATCATCGTCATCATCATCGTCATCTGTAGTGCCCTTCATTCTCGGGTTCCCTCTTTCCAGGTGGCAAGTGGCCTTTCAACGAGCACTCATCTGAGATCTAAGACCACGAGGGCATTTTCCGAGTAAGCACATGTCTAATGGACTTTGCTTGGCAGGGCACGGGTAGGACGGCTCGCTGCCGTCCAATGGATGCTGACCCATAGCGACCCTAGAGGGCAGCAGGGTAGGGCTGCCCCTGTGGGTTTCCCAGACGGGAGCTCCACACTGGAGTAGCGGCTGGGGGGTTAGACCAGCTGCGCTCGCTAAGGTTGGCAGCCCAATGCGCAGTCACTCTGCCGCCAGGGGTCCCGTAGTCGCCTTCAAGATCCCCAGTCACGAGCAAGTGGACCTAGTGTTTCCCGTGTTGTTGTTGCTCTTCTTTTTTTTTTTTTTTCCTCAAGAAACATCTTTATTAATACAGTATTCATTTGTCTTCCCTCTGTCAAACCCTGAGCCAATTTCCTTCCCCGGGCTGCCTGGGGAGGTGCAGGGAAAGCAACATATAGGGCAGACGAGACGTGGGACAGAGAGCTATGGGAGGTGAAGAAGGCTCCTTCACATGGGGAAGAGGATGAGGAAGGCCGCCGTCAGGCAGAAAAGCCCCCTGGCCCCCGAGAGGGCAAAGCCCAGGATGGCGTAGGAGAAGAGCCGCTGCTTCAGAGACGGGCTCCTGGCATCACCAAGGAGGAGGCTCCCAAACACGGTCCCAATGCCAGCTTCAGAGACGGCCCTCCAACTGTGGCAGCCCCTGCCCCAGTGGACTTGGCGGCTGTGTCCATGTCCCTTGAGACGGTGCTGGTTTGGAAGCTGCGACTAGGGATGAGTGAGGTCAGGGAACGTGGGGCTGTCCAGCTGCTGAAGCGCTCGTCCGGCCGTTTCTGCACCAACACTGACAGGGGTCGGCTCAGCAGCTGGGAGGTGCTCCTGACCAGGGAAGGGGTGGAGACGGAATTTGGCCCAGGCATACGTTTTTAGGGGGTGAGGGGCAGTAGCAGGCGAGCTGCTCCGAGTGCAGAGAAGACGGAGAGGGGGAGGGGCGGGCATTGCTGCTTTCCACTGATGTTATGTTGGGGCTGCTGGACCAACAGGGACTCCCCCACCCCCACCCCACCCCTCGCCCTCTGACCCCAAACCCACGGCCATCAAGTCCGTTCTGACTCAGAGCAACCCTGTCGGGACAGGGTAGAACTGGCCGAGGCTGGAGCTCTTTGGGGGAGCAGACGGCCTCGCCTTTCTCCCAAGGGGGTGCTGCTGGAGTTGAACCACTGACTTTGAGGTTAGCGGCCCCATCAGAACCCATCCTGACTCCTTCCCTGGGCTAGCCGCAGCCCTGCATCGTGGCCTTTTCCAGGGGGTCCCTCGTGGGGGTGGGGACGGGTAGGGTCTGCCAGGGGTTGCGATGCACAGCAAGACTGCTGTGTTTGTCTTTCCGTCCGAGCGAGACAGCATGCCCCCCGGAGAGCGGCAGATGGACAGACCCACACTGACAATTGACAACCCAGAGGCTTCCGGGGTGTGAGTGATGTACTTCCGAAGCAGCTCAGTATCCTCGCAGAGCTTTGTGCCACCCTGATGGATGGAGTCGCCCTCCCTTCAGCCCACCCTGGGGCGCCCTGGTCCTCTTCTACTGCTTCCAGGCACCTCGGGCCGTGCTGCTTGGCCACATGGGCTGCTTGAAACGACGCCTCTTCTTGCCCTTTTCTGACGCTTTTTCCAAACACAATGCTTGCAGCTGTTGTTGACAGGCCCAGCCATGTGCACCCCAAGCCCTACCGTTCGGTGACACACATGACCTTCTTCGAGGGGTGTCGCCGTGTTCACCCTCCTCCTCAGTGCTGTTCGTCTCCCATTAACAGGGCTTCACCGTCCCAGCTCATCCTCCCAGGTGGGCTGGTGCCCGTCGGATCCCCCACACCGTGAGAGAGCAGAACACGCTCCAGGCAGACGGCCCGTGACACTGAGCGCCCGCGGGGTTTTTGGAAGCCCCAGGGGGATGTTTGCGGTTTAAGGGTTCTGATCCCGGGCCAGTAGTTTTGCAGGGGCCTCGCCCAATCTGCAGGGCTCCTTGGCGTGTGGAGTTCACGAGAATCTGAACCCCTTTGATCAGGATTCTTCTAGGATGTCTTGCATGGAAATGTCCAGCGGTGGCAGTACCCACGTCCTGCCCAGCTCTTTGGGTCTTGCAGCAGAGCGGGGAGTTGGTCATGGTCACTGGAGGCTGTTAGCCACATATCCCGCAGTCCCTTCCAATTCCCAACTCTGCTTCTCTCTCTCTCTTGTTCTAGGCAAACCCCAGGTGGCAGATTGGATGGATGCTTACACATTTCTAAAGACCCCAGGTCTTACGGGTTCCACTAGTAGGCAGACCAGAGGCACTGAAGATGTGATTAAGCCAATGGGCCGGGATGTCCCATGAAACCATGGCCCTAAGAATGTCTCTTTTTTCCCCATACTGTCAGCGCCCATGATGCTGAGCATGCCCGTTTTGTTCATGCGATCAGAGCCCAATTGACCCCCTGTTTACCTCACCCTGGCCCTGACGCCTCCCCCGACAGGGCTTCGTGCCCCACTCACCGGGTAGCCTGGGCGTCACCATAGAGCAGTAGTTCTCCGGAACGGGAGGGGTCGGGGCTTTTACAGTGCTGGTCTAACTCCAGAACCATATATCCCAAAGGAAGCGATTGTGTGCAACTGCAAGAGAAGGTAAGGGTGGGGAGGGCGGAAAGTATACTTATAAAACCAGGGGTCTCTCTCTCTCTCTCTTGCTCCCTCCATTGTTAAGGCCAGTCCACATCTTGAGAAGCAGGGATTACATGGGGCAGTACGTTCAAGAGCGTCTAGGGACAGGGCAGCCATCCTGTGCACCTCTGGGAAGCCCAGGTGTCATGTCTCCTCTCCCCTTGGCCTCTGGGCCAGGAGGATGGGATTCTCTCTCAAAGCAGATGGGAACTTGGGGGCACCACGGAGGTGTATCAGAAATGGCCTGGGGGGGGTGGGGTTGCGCTGCAGAAGGACTGCAGGCCCGACGGCTGGGGAAGAGACTGGCGTGGTGTCTGGACAGAATGGAATGACAAGCTTGAGCTGGTGCGTGGGTGGTGAGGGGAAAAAGAGGAAGGGGCAGATTTAACAGAGTTAAAACTCACTGCCATTGAGTGGCGGATGCCGACTCATAGTGACCCTACAGGACAGGGTAGATCTGCCCCTGAGTTTCGAGACTGCCACTCTTTATGGGGAGTCCAAAGCCCCCGTCTTTCTCCTATGGAGCGGCTGGTGGTTTCGAACTGCTGACCTTGTGGTTAGCACCCCCATTTGTAACCACTACGCCACCGGGGCTCCTCTGGGTGATATGGTAAGTTCACCGACTTGTTAAAAAGATGCGCAGACCCCAAGGAAAGTTGTTATGCACACAGTTACAGTGAGTGACCGCTACCCAGTTTCTTCGAAAGTAAGACACCCCCGAAAATAAGATCCACCCACAGTTTTGCCTCTCGCTGAACTATAAGGCATCCCCCCCAAAATAAGACCTCCCTGAAAATAAGGCCACTGAAAGTTACCGTAATTGGACTCTGGACCGTAGGGCGGGTATAGCCACACATGCGCTCATTGTGGGCCACAGCACAGCCAGAGCAGACAGGCAGTGAGAGGTCTCTTTTTTTTTTGGGGTGGGGGGTGAGACCACAAGGAACTTGGCATGTTACAGAAACAGATCAGTGATTGGGAGGGTAGAGAATGAAGACCAGGTAGGCATGGTGAGCCCGTGGTGGGTGGCCTTGGGCGTCAAGTTCAGCCGGCTGCTAGAAGCCCATGTCCTATTGTTCACATGTGCAGACGTCCTGGGCTGGAGCCCTGGTTCTGGACTTGACCTCTTCAGACCTATTTCTTTTCCTTTAAGAGGGAGGGTGATGCTCTCCCAAGTTTTCAGGGTGTGGGCTCTGGGGTATAACAATCTCTGGGTTCAAGTCTTCTCTTCAAAACTATGCAAGCTTGGCTCAGTCAAGGGGCGGGTCAGCGCAGACTCTTTGGTCTCTCTGCTCCCTTCCCGGGCTTCCTAATTGGGGCTCCAGATGTGGTCCCCAAAATCCAGACTTGGGAGGTGGGAGGGGGGCACACTCCCAGCCTGAGGAGCCTTGGCCTGAAGCAGAGGAGAGGTAGGTGGGAGGGATGAAGGTCGAAGCTGCCTGCTCTCTTCCCTCTGTCTCCCTGAGATCTGGAGACCTGGGCCAGCACATGCATTGGAAGATCACAGGCCTGTGGGTGGAAAGTCTTGTGGATCCAGTGGTGGTGGAAGCATTGCAACACTGGCGTGGGTCTCTGCATGGCTCCTCCAGCTCCAGGGCTCTGGTTCCAACAGCATAGCTCCATGTGGCTCAGCCCTGCTTGGTGGTCCTCGTGGGGGGAGCCTGGCTGTGAGAGCAGGAGAGAGCCTCGGGAGCAAGAGCAGGAGAGCCCCCACTTTACTGCTAACCAAAGGTTATATCGAGAGGTCTCTTTTAATAAAACAATAAATGTGTACCGTATTCTTCTTCATGGAAAAATAAGACATCCCCTGAAAATAAGACCTGGCGCATCTTTGGGAGCAAAAATTAACATAAGACACTGTCTTATTTTTGGGGAAACAGGGTGAAAGGTAACAGGTTAAAATCAGCCAAGAGAAAGGGGGTATAGGGAAGTGTGGGGAACAGACCTGGGAAGAGAGTGTATTGGGGTAAACTCTCAACATTCGCACATTAAGGACACTGGCAGACCAGGGCTCCCGTGGAGAGAACCTTCGCATTCCTGGGCTGGAGATGCGTCCCACTCACGTTCTCCTAAGTAAAAGTCATTCCCCACGATGTCCCCCCATAATAATGCCGAATCTAAGGTGTTGCTTGCTAACACATGCTCACTGCCTATACACTTGGAGGTCAACTGCTTGAAGCTTATCAGCCTTCATGAAGGCTGTCAGCCATTTAAGGCAATCAGACCCTATTGTCTCTCCCCCCACTAAGTGGGACCCACTCCCTTCTGATAAGGATAATGGATTGTTCCCCTGAAGAAGAGCTCAAAGACACCCAAGGTCAAGCCAACCCAGAAGACCAAGGTTAGGCTGCCACCTGGGCTCCAGAGCCTGCCGGTCTTGTCACATTTGTGCCTTCCTCTCACATGGGTGCCCCTAGTGCCACCCCTTCCTATTGCATGTACACCCCTAGCTCAACCCCTTCCTGTTATGTATGTGCTTACCGTGGCCTGCATGCCTGAGATTATGTAAACTCGTGAGGTTACTTTATCTTCTCTCTCTGCTCCGACCTGGCTCCTGAAGTCATGGCTGAGAGGTGAGCCCTTGCAGGCTTTATCTTGTCTGCTGTCTCTTTCATTTACCCCTCAATCACACAACCGGCCCTTGGACCCATTCGGTGGGGGGGAGGCCGGTCCCCCACAGGTCAGGGCCCAGGAAAGCCCCAAACACGGAGCTTTCTGGTGACTTCCCCTTTGCATTCTGGAGCAATGGTGTGTGACAATATGCACACAGGATTGCCAGTCAAGGAAGCTCACTCCAGCCTTGGTGCCTACAATGTTGATTGGGCCTCTGTCACATAGGCATGGAGGTGGTGCTGATACCCTGAGGTAAAGCACACCCCTACCCTACCCCACACCCCCCGCTAAAAAAACAAAACAAAACCCCACATGGCTGGACTGTCTGTTGTTGCTAATGCCCACCTTTTTAACAACAACAACAAATCACTTTGTTGGGGCTCGTACTGCTCTTATCACATTCCATCCAGGCATCCATGGTGTCAAGCACATTTGTACAGATGACGCCATCATCAGCTTCAAAACAGTTTCTTTCTACTTGAGTCCTTGGTACCCGCTCAATTCCCCCCCCCCCACCCCATGAACCCTTGAAAATTTATAAATGATTATTTTTTTCATGTCTCACACCAGCCGCTGTCTCCCTTCACCCACTTTTCTGTTGCTCATCCCTGGGAGGTGGTTATATGTCAATCTTTGTGATCGGTTCTCCCTTCCTCCCCCCACCTTCGCCTTCCCCTCCTGGCACCATTACTCCCATTATTGTTCCTGAGGGGGTTATCTGTCCTGGATTCCCTGTGTTTCAAGCTCTTATCTGCACCAGTGTACATGCTCTGATCTAGCCGGATTTGTAAGGTAGAACTGGGGTCATAATAGTGGGCAGGGTGGAGGGGGGGAAAGCATTAAAGGCCTAGAGGAAAGGTGCTTGTTTCATCGGTGCTAATGCCTACCTTTTATCACAGTGTTTGGCTATCTGAGGGACCTAAGGCCTCATGTGCACAAAAACATGTTTATCTTGAGCGCCTGCCCAAGGACTCCAGGCATTACATCTCAGGATCAGAGGACAACGGGAAGATCTGGGTAAACTTCAATTTATCACTACACACACACACACACACACACACACACACACACACGCACGATGCCACATTTCGTGTGGTCGTTTGTGGTATGTTTGGGAGCAGGAGATGTGTTTGGGGGAGAGTGGTTCACAAGGGACTCCTCTCAGCTCATGGTTCTGACTCCTCGTGACCCTATGCAGGGTTTCTGAGACTGCCAGTCTTTATGGGAGCACGCCACCTCACCTCATCTTTCTCCATTGGAGCAACTGGTGGGCTTGAACTGCAGAAGTGGTTAGTAGCCCAAAGTTTATCCCACAGTGCCACCAGGAAACTTTTTTTTCTAAAATCGTTTTCTTGGGGGCTCTTACAACTTTTGTTATAAACCACACATCAATTGCATCTGACATATTCATACATATTTCCATCATTCTTTTCTAGACATCTAATTTCCATTGAGCCCTTGGGATCAGCTCCTCCTTTTTTTCCTCTCTCCTCAACCCCCAACCCTCCTGGCCCCCCAGTAGATTGTAGATTGTTAAGTATTTTCAAATCTCACTACGACTGCTGTCTCCTTCTGTGGTTCTTGCCCTTGACTGGGAGTGTGTGGTTACGTGCCATTCATTATGATCGGTGCCTCCCCGCTACCCTTTTGGTATCTGTATTCCCATTCCTGTTCTGCCACCAGGACACTTGGCACAAGGGATTGTGATTTAGATTTCAAGCTGGATGGTTAAGTCCATGTTCTCACTAGCCCGTTTCTAATATGTCATAATAGTTCCATAAAAATGGAATCACCTATCATTTCATGTAAACATTATCTGTAAATACACACCCACGGGTTTATATGTCATAACACATTCATCAATAGAAATAATACACCCAGGAATGAAACAAAGATCCATACAGTAATCGATTACCAACATTAACCTGTGGCTAGCGAGTTGTGTTGGGCGGTGAGCCACAAGGTCCACCGTTCCAAACCCCCAGCCACTCGGAGGGAGAAAGACCATGCTTTCTACTCCCACCAGGAAGTGGAGTCTCGGGAACCCACAAGGGGCAGTTGGACCCTGTCCTAGAGAGTCCGCTGTGGGTCCGCATGGACTCCGTAGCAGTGAGTTTGGTTGGAAGGGCAATGATGAAAGAACCCTGGTCGCCCAATGGTTAGACGCTTTGGCTGCTAACTGACAAGGTCAGCGGTTTGAACTCCCTGGCCTGCTCAGCGGGAGAAAAGACGAGGCAAGCTCTTTCCGTGAAGCTAGCAGACTGGGAAACTCCCTGGAGCAGCTGGGCTCTGTCTGACATTGG